TCATCAAACCTCCTCTTTTCTTATAGTTTGGATAGCGATGTACGTTTAATTTCAGAAACGTGTAAAATGTAAAGCAGAACCTCCTCAGACTCTCTGGTAAAGCGTGGTGTAGATGAAGACTTTGATAAACCTGATTTAAAGCATAAACTCTGTGACAGATTCAACCCACCGGTGGTTGCAGACAGGACGTCCTTGCAGAGTTTGAGCCAGTGTCCCAGTTTCCCGCTGGTGGCGCTGGACGCCATCATGTGGACCAGAGTCTCCTGGATGTCCTTCCTCAGGCTTGGATCTGACTCCCGGTCCAGCAGAGTGAACAGAGCTCCTTCCAGACCCACCTCCTTTATGGTGACGTCTGCACAGGGTGGAGGGTGGGGGGTGGTTAGGGCGTGGACAGACGTGTATCTAACAGCGTGTAATAAACTGTGCGTCCTTCTCACCCAGCTGTGTGTTGTCTCGTCTCGGCAGCTCTTTGACCAGAGTCACCGCGTGTTCAGACACCTCCAGAGCCTCCCGCTGGACGAGCTGCCGCAGACACGCCACCACGGCCCGCCGCAGACACAGGTACGAACTGCACAGGTTGGCCTGAAACACACAAAGAGTTAATGGGTGTACTCTGTGAACAGGTTTAAAGGTTTTCAGAGGAAGCATGCAGCTACAGACAGTGTCTCCTCCAGACTCAGCTCCAGTGTGTCACACTGAGGAGGAGCTATCGATACCCAAACACTGGCTCTGGACAGGGTCTGTTTTGTGGCCACCGTAGTTTCTCCTTTAAGCTTGGAAAGGGAGGGTGAAGCGAGGGAGAGGCAATCTGCATCTACACCACGAGATGCCACTATTTTAATTACTAATTGACAATTACTTTCTCAAATTCTCCATAAAATGTAAGTAAATAGTGACAGAAAGGAAAATTACCAGTTCCAAATTCACAATATAACTGCAACGACTGGTCAATTAATCAATCAGGCAACTATTAAATTAATAAGTTGAATTGTTTTGATAGTCAATCAATCATTTTGAGTCATTTTCTAAGAAAAAGAGTTAAACTCTGTTTTCAGCCTCTCAAATGTGAATATTTTAAGTGTTTTCATCCAATAATCTTTGGGTTGAGGACAATATCATCCATCAGTTTATGGACTAAATGATTGACAGATTAATCAAAAATAAAACAAATATTTGTAATTGCAGCCCTAATACACAGGATTAATCTTAATAATAATAATATTTAGATGAATTTATGAGCTCTCTCTAGAGGAAACACTGAGTAGTTTCACTGTAGATGGTGAAAACAGCCAGCAGGGGGGAGATGTTAATGCAGCTGTTAATGTTATTGAGCTGCCACACAAAAACAACAAAACAACAGTGAGTTAATACAGTATCAAAACCAAGAGGAAAATGTTTCAGTGACAGGAAACGGTGTTAAAAAGCTCCACGGCAACAGAAAAGTGCTGAGGGAGAAAGAAGCTGAAAAGAAAAGTGAGACAAACAGCAGCTTCAGGCCTTAGAGAGAGGACCTACCAACAGGGAATAATCCAACAAGATCTCCTGCAAGACACAAGACAGGGTCAAACACACACTCACTGTACACTGGCCTGTCCCCCACAGAGATCATCACCGCGTTTACAGCCAGACTAATAATCTGTATCCGGTTAATAAACGATCTTTGTATTTACACCTGGTATTTTTAATGTGTTCTCGTTATCCTTATTGAGATCTGATCTTTGTCCTCCAGAGAAAATAATCTGAGGTGGCAGCAAAGTGACTTTGCTAACAGCCAAACTTAAAGTAAGTGCAAGAGCAAGCAGCTGTTATTACTGACTAATGCAGCCAGCTCATCGTCTGTCTGGAGACTTTTATTTCATTTCATTTGGCAGCTGGTTATAAACTCTTAGCTTCAATATTCCTCGTTTTTCTCAAGACCCCTGAAATCCCCTCAAGGACCCCTGTGGGTCCCTGGACTCTAGGTTGAGAACCAGTGCTGTCGACTATACCACCCTTATGAGATAAATGAGAGTAACGTTGCTGGTTGAGGTGTACTCACACACAGAGCCGGTACGAGGCTGGCCAGGTTGACGTGTGGTGGCGAGAACATGTGCAGCTGCTGCAGACAGGAAATGGCTCTGGCCTGAACCAGACAGTCTGGACCGGCCTGCATCACTCCGCATCCCACCAGACAGCTGGAGCGCAGACCGGATACTGCCGCACCCTCACCTGAGAAACACACACACATCAGTCCAGCTGCTCCCGACATCCACTCTGTGTCCGGGCTCAGGGGAGACGAGGGTCGTACCTTGCAGGTCGGGGCCCAGGCAGGTGATGAGGGCGTGCAGGCAACGTCCCAGGCTGTGGTGCACCTCAGGGTGGGTGGGTGGAGCCGACAGCAGCAGCCGGAGCACCAGGGTAAAGGACGGCTCGGCGTGGGCGCGGTACAAACCGCCGGACAAGTCGACTACCAGAGACAGACTGTGAAGAGACCAGGTCTGGACCCGACAGACACATGGGGACATTTCAGACTTTTAGGGGTAAAGTTTGAGTTAGGATGGTTTTATGTCCGTAAAGTAAACAGTTAAAATCAGGATGATAATCTTGTGCGAGTACCTGGACCTCGGGCGAAGTGCTGTCCTGGCTAAGGGTGAACAGGACTCCCAGGCAGGTGGACAGGTGTTGAGGTGAGCTGATGCCTCCGGTGTATCGGTACAGCGCCCCCAGAGCTAGAGCGTAGCCGCTGCGAGACGCTGCGTCCCGAGCCGTCTTCAGCCTGAAGAGTTGAGATCAATAGTGTCAGAGGCAGCAGCAGCTTTTTGGACTTTTATCAAGGATAAATAAGTATTTGAATAGTTGTGGTAACATGGCAGTTATCTGCAGTTTTACATTATTTATACTACTGTTATTTATCTTAGCGTTTTATTTTTTATCTCTCTTTGAAAGTCCTGATCTTTAGAGCCTGGAGCACGTTTACCTTTATAATATTTGTAGTATGTTAGTCTGTTGTCTTTAACTGCAAACCAAATCTACCTTTGGGTACCAATAAAGTAACCTTGAATGAACTTCCTCACTGACTATCAATATTCAGTGATTCAGGTTGTTAGTAGTTGTA